CAAAATGCTCATATAGATCTTTAAATCTATACAGAGTGCTAGCAAGCATTTGATTAAACCAAACATTTCTTTGCAGCTCTGTGTGTTGCTGACTTACTGTCCACTAAGGTCAGACCAACCCTGCAATATTTTGTATTCTGAAAAACATGACAAACATATATACCTTACTTTTTATACACTGCATAAACTCATAATCAGCCTGTGCTGTCCTCCTTTCTTTTGTTTTTGAAGACAATCTGTTTTATGTTAGCTGTGTGTCAACATTAATGGTGAATAGTCAAGAAAAGCAGTGTCAAAAGCAGCCTTGGTTTTTAAGACAGGAAGAACTCATCATGGCTAGGCTTCACGAACGAAGATTTGGGAAGGGCTCTACCCACATTTGCTGCAAGCGCGTTGGTGGTTAAAAAGGCCAATACGAGATAGGCATGACCGATTGCAAAAGGCACAGCAGAAAGACTCCTTAGATGGTATATTCTGCAAGGCACGATTCTTTCTGTGTTGTCTTTTCTCCACAAGGGTGATCCTGTGTTCTTTCTCAAAAGCATCAGCAGCATTATAGATGGTGTGTCTCCAGGCCTCCCGATTGGAGGCCAGAGTAGACCAGTTATGATGATCAATATGGCCAAGGCTGAGATGTTGTTTCAGGGAGTCCTTGTATCTCCTCTTTGGGGCTCCTCTCTTGCGGCAGTCGGTGGCAAGTTCACCATAAAGCAGGATCTTAGGGAGGCAGTGGTCCTTCATCCTTGAGACGTGCCCTGCCCAACGCAGTTGTGTTCTCAGCAACATGGCCTCAATACTTGTGACTGCTGCTTGTTCTAGAACAGATGTATTGGTCATATAATCTGACCAGTGGATGTTTAGGATTGTACGGAGGCAGTGCTGATGGAAGCATTCTAGGAGACGCAGGTGGTGGCCGTAGATGACCCATGATTCAGATCCGTATAAGAGAGTAGACAGCACTATGGCTCTGTAAACACTGATCTTTGTACTTTTCTTCAGGTGTTTATTTCACCAAACTCTTTTATGAAGCTTTCCGAAGGTACTGTATGCCTTTGCTAACCTGTTGTCTATCTCTCCGTCAATCTTACCATCCGAGGAGATGAGGCTACCGAGATAATTAAACTGCTGAACTGATTTGAGCTCTGATTCGCCAATGGTGATATGGGGATGAAGGAAGACTTCCTGAGGTGCTGGTTGATGGAGAACTTCTGTCTTCTTTAAGCTGATTTCCAGCCCAAAGAGCTCAGCAGAATCTGCAAAGCAGAATGTTAAACGCTGCAGAGCTACTTCTGTGTGTGCAACAAGGGTGGTGTCATCAGCATAAAGCAGCTCCCGGACAAGATGGTTTAAGGTCTTAGTGTGGACCTTCAGTCGCCTTAGGTTGAATAGGCTTCCATCAGTACGGTAACGAATGTAGATACCGTCCTGATCATTGAGGTCTGCTGTGACCCTTTGGAGCATCATGCTGAGAAAGACTGTGAATAGGGTTAGTGCTAGAACGCAGCCTTGTTTCACACCATTCTTTATTAGAAAGGGCTCGGAAAGTGCATTGCCATATCTGACTTGGCCGTGCTGATCCTCATGGAGTGAGATGATCATTTTAAGGAACTTGGGGGGACATCCTAAGCATTCCAAAATCTGCCATAGACCTTTTCTGTTCACAGTATCAAAAGCCTTAGTGAGGTCGACAAAGGTTACATAGAGACCTTTGTTCTGTTCCCTACACTTCTCTTGCAGTTGTCTGAGAAGAAATACCATGTCTGTGGTGCTCCTGTTGGCTCTGAAACCACACTGACTTTCAGGTAGAATTCCTTCTGCTATAGCGGGTATTAGTCTGTTCAAGAGTATTCTTGCCAGGATTTTGCCAGCAATGGAGAGCAGAGTAATACCACGGTAATTTGAGCAGTCTGATTTAGTACCTTTCTTCTTATACAAGGTGATGATGACTGCATCACGAAGGTCTGAAGGTAGTTTGCCTAGTTCCCAACAGCGCACCACAAAGTCATGAAATTTAGCATGGAGTGCAAGGCCCCCATGTTTCCAGACTTCGGGTGGAATTCCATCAACCCCATCTGCCGTGCCGATTTTCACCTGCTGTACGGCCTTGAGGGTTTCTCCTAAAGTGGGGGCAGTATCCAATTCGTATTTCACCGGTTGTTGTGTGATGGACTGAATTGCTGAGTCTTGTACTACACGGTTGGTACTGAAAAGAGTCTGAAAGTGTTCAGACCATTGATTCAGAATGGAGGTTTTATCTGTTAAAAGCGTTTGACCATCAGCGCTGAGTAGAGGGCTTTGGACTTGGTATGTAGGCCCGTATGCTGTTTTCAGGGCCTCATAGAATCCTTTGTGATCACCCCTATCTGCGCATAATTGAGTTTTTTCAAGCTAGATCGATCCACCACTTTTTCTGGTTGTCACAGAGTTTCTGTTGGAGCTTGCTGCATGCAATACGAAAGGCTATTTTTCTTGCATGACAGGATGGCAGTGTGAGGTGTGCTTGGTGGGCGATTCTCTTCTTCCTCAACAATTCCTGGATTTCTAGATTGTTTTCATCAAACCAGTCCTTAATCTTCTTGAGAGAGAACCCTAAGGATTCTTCAGAGGATTGCAGGATGCTGTTTTTAATATGGTGCCAAATTGATTCAGGGGAGGAATCTGTAGAGTGTGTAGAATGGTTTTCGAGCCCAGTTTGAAGTTTTGCCTGGAATCTGTCTCTTACTGTGGCTGATTGGAGATTGTTAACTTGGAGTCTTCTCCTTGGGATACTGCCCCTTTTGGGTTTTAACTTAAGATTGAAGTTGAGTTTACAGCGCACAAGTCGATGGTCTGTTTGGCATTCTGCGCTGGGCATCACGCGGGTATGGTGGACATCACGGACATCTCTCCGTCGTACCAAGAGAGATGAGGTGCCATTGCTTAGATCTGGGGTGCATCCAGGTTGTCTTCAGACTATTTTTCTGCTGAAAGTTAGTATTAGTGATGGTGAGCTTTTGCTCCGCACAGAATTCTAGCAGAAGTCGACCATTATCGTTGCAGTTTCCAACACCATGCTTGCCTAATATGCCTTTCCATGCTTCAAAATTCTTACCTACTCTGGTGTTGAAATCACCAAGGATAATGATCTTATCATCTGCAGGCACCTTTTGGGTAAGGGGGTGCAGGCCAGTGTAAAATTTATCTTTTTCAGCAGGGTCGGTTTGGAGAGTTGGGGCATATATACTAAAGAGGACAATGTGTTTGTTGTTGTTTAGTGGAAGGCGTAGGGAGATAATGCAGTCAGAGTGACCTGTCAGCAGATTTTCGAGTTTAGGAACAATAAAGTTTTTGATCATGAAGCCAACTCCTGAGACATGTTTTTCGGTTCTTGGCTTACCTGACCAAAAGTGTGTGCAACCGGCACCATGTTCTCTGAGGCTGCCTTCCTCGTGAAGGCGAACTTCACTGAGAGTTGCAATGTCAGTGTTGAGACGAGCCAGCTCATGGGCAATTAGGGCAGAACGACGCTCAGGACGTCCGCTATCCGCAGAATCGAGCATGGTTCTGATGTTCCAACATGCTAGAGTTAATTTAGGTACACCTTTGGAGGCAGGTGCATGCCTTTGTCTTTTGCTCTTTGTGCGACCGCATTGGAAGAAGATGCCCGTTGGTCTGCGGTTAACCAACCGGGTGAAGGTGGAGATGAGCTTTGTTTAGGTCACCTTTTCTAGGCCCCTCTCCGAGTGGAGCAAGCAGTGCTGTCCTTGAAAAGGCTGCTTGGTCGTTCAGGGTGCTGCCCCAAGAGACTGTCATCTCCGGTCAGTCTCAAATGACCAATATCCTGAACCGTCTGCATGCAGGGTCGGGTCTGCGGCTTCCAGTGCACCTTTCACCTGCCGTTTTGACCCTCGCCTGTCACTACAGGGCTTTTTGCATGTGGGTAAAGCCTTCAAGCCTGCGCAATGGATTTTTTAGGTGAGATGCAGTATGCGCGGAACTGAACCCACCCTTTAATCCTAAGGTTCATCTGCCAGGGTCGAGCAAGCTTGGACGGTGGCAGAGAGGTCCTCAGGACGTAGGTTTGATTAGAGTGACCTTCTCTTAGATGGATGGCCTTACAGGGCTAAGCGAGCTCCATCTGCCCGGGTTTGGGATTTGAGTTGTCCTTCTCCTAGGATGACTGCCAGAAAGGCTAACGAGCTCATCCTGCCCAAGAATGTAGTGTATCTGGTCCTATGGTTTTGACCTGTCTGGCATGGGCGACCCTACCAAAGGCATGTGTCATCGCCAGCATAACTCGCAACCACATAGGGGCACACAGGCTACGTTCCTGCTAGAACGATTTGGGCAAGTCTTTCATTTCCTACTTTACTGTCACCTATTTATATACAATCATAAGGAGATACCCAGGAACAACCCTTTGTCCTGCCCACCCTTTCAGGACGTAACAAAGCAAAGCAAATATATCCAGAACATGTTGAACCCGGGCAATAGCCGCAGGTGAGCCAAAAACAAAAAGACAAACAAACCGACCAACCGTTCTGGCCCCCATACCCATTCAAGGCTGGAGTGCCTTTCAAGGCCCCAGTCTGGCTGGGACTCCCATCACTCTAAAGGAACCCCACTACCCATCCTGACCATATCCTTTCTCCACTGTGTTACCACTTATCTTCAGGCGCACTGCTCACCTGTGACACTTCATACAGGATTGCCCTGCTCTCCCTCCTGCCAGTCAGAGGACCCCCATGGCCCGCTCGATACCCCTCCCCTCTCTTCCCTCCCCCCTTTCCCCTGTACCCCCCCCTCCCCCTTCCCCCCCAAACCTGGAACAGCAAACCTCTGTGTGCTCTGAAGCTGCCCTCTCCTTCTCCACGGGTGCGCAGCAACTGCCGGCAGGGCTGCCCATCTCTATCCCCTCTCACGCTGCGGTTGCAGCTGTGGACCAAACCAGGGTCCCACCACGCCGCCCGGGGAGCGGGGGGGGAGACCCTCGGCAGAGTCAGGGTCCCACCACACCGGGTAGCCTTTCTACTGAGAGTTAAATTGTACACAAGGATTATGAGGATGGAGAGTAACACAGCAGCTGTTACGAATCATTTCAACTTTGTTCCACAATAGCTGAAACTCTTTTCTCATATTCACATTTGTTCTCCTGGTAAAGCTGTGCTGCCTGACTGTTTGCTGGACTGTTTGGATTGGGTTCATCAAGCAGAGACTGAATTGAAGTTAAAATAGATGAAACATCATATGTTGGACTCCAGCGGTTCTGAAGAATATCTAAACATATGCTGCCATCCGCATACACATTTGGATGGAACATTTTTGATAGAAACCTAACAGTTGGAGGTTTATGTGGATATTCTTCGGCGAATTCTATTACTAGTTTAAAAGTACCATCTTCAAAAGGTGTCCCTTCTGGCCCAAATATAACTGCATTCCACTGCATTATATTATTCTCGGATGGTGCACCACTGACACCCACAGGAGGGTCCTCTTGCAATCTCTTGAAGTCGCGCATCAGCCGCCGCCGGGCTGGGGTGGACATGGTGGGCAAAGAATCCGCGGTCACCATTCTTACCATATGTGGGTGTGAAAAGGAGTTCCTTGAAACTCCAAGGTCTCTGTATGTGCTGTTTGTATGAACAGGCTGGCCTGAGTGAGTGTGACTTGCAGCTGTGCTCTGTCTTAAATTGCTTAACCACTCCCAGTGAAAAGTGAATGATATAAAAACCCTGAGTGATGGATAATAAACTGATTTCTGTCCACCAAGTCAGGAGTTCGTAATCTTCATTCCATCTATAGGTGTTGCCGACAATGCGCAGTTGTAATGGCAATTGGCATTCGCAGGAGAAGGGTTCTCCGAGAGGCCAGGTAACGAATTCAACTGCTTAGCCACCTCTGTCTCCACAGCAGCTATTCCAAAAGCCCATCTATGTCCCTTTGGGTCTTTGAAATACCTGTTTCTGAGATAGTCAATGCCGAGGATTGTAAGGGTCCAATAATGCTAAGATGATCCCAGATATAGGGGCAAAAAACTGGAATACTTTATTGAACACGCAAGTGCAATTTAAGGGTCTTGGGGGCTGGACATGCTAATGAGGAGGATGAGTTATGTTAATTAGGGGATGGCTTTATGTTAACTAGAGGATTACACAGGTTTCTGCTACAGTTACACAACTGATTAATATTTCCCTGAACCAGGATTAAATGGGGGGGAGGAAAACAAAGGGGTTTCAACATGGATTGATAACTTCATCTCAAAGTCCTTCCTTATCCTGCTGCAGGAGCCAGGTTAATCCACATGGTTGTACATCAACAGGTCTTGTGAGGAAGGTCCAGTCCTTCTGATTAAGAGATTTCTCTCAGCCTCTGTTGCCCAAGGTTTACTGCATTGACCCATCAAGCTCCTTTCTGCTGACAGCTGGGTTTTGGCTCCTACACAGGATACATGGGGCATCTGGACCAGTCACAATGGGGTGTTTCTGCCAGTCTTTCCCAGTCAAGTTCACCTCAGCTTCCAACACGGTCAACTCTTGAGACCCTCCAGTCATCCCAGAAATGGAAATAGTCTCTGGTCCCACATGTCCTGAGGGCATTAACGTACACTGAGCACCAGTATCAACCAAAGCCTGATATTCTTGTGAGTCTGATGTGCCAGGCCATTGGATCCACACAGTCCAATAGACATGGTTGTCCCGTGCCTCTACCTGGCTAGAGGCAGGGCCCCTCTAACAGTGGTCTTGGTTGGGCAATCACAGCTCTTTCCCTGTGAATACATATGGGAGGAACCTTCTAGCAGGTCAGATCCTTGTCCATAAGATACTGGTACTGCACTTACTCTCACGGGCTTCCCTTTTTCTCTCTCCTTCAACTCTTGTACTTGGGCTGCTAGGACACGGGTAGGTTTCCATTCCCACCATCTCATGTCTTCTCCATGGTCAGCTAGGAAATACCACAACTCGGTTCGTGAGGTCTGTCTGCTCTCTCTAGCTGGGGGGCGTCTGGTTCTCACTGGTGCCATATGGAAACTGTTGCCCTCAATCCTCTCTTTCAGTCTCTCCTCTTTATCTTTCACCTCTGTAGTTAGTGTCTTGAGGTCCTTAATCAATGTCTCTACAGTGGAGATGTGGGCCTGTAGTGGTCCTTCAATCATACTATCATACAACCGAAGTTTATTTATTATAGACATCACTGGCTCTCGCTTCTCCCCAGCCTGTAATGATGTCAGGTAACTGGTGTGTGGGGACGGTCCCATATGTGTGAAGCTCCACCACATCTGTGGTGTACACTTAACCCTGTCAGGATCGTTGCTGGGTTGCCCATCCCTTCCAAACAGTACCTCCAACAGTGCCATTTCCCTCAGGCATAGGGTCCCCTCCTCTATGCTCTTCCAGCCCTTTGCATAATGGTGTGCCTGCAAGGAATCTCTGTAAATGAACCTCTCCCTCACACCATCCAAAAGCCGTGCCCAGAGAGACAGGGACTTCGATTCCCTCACAAACGCCTCCTTGATACCCATATCCTGGGCAATAGACCTCAAGAACCTTGCTTCACCACCATCAAGGTTTTTGACATCACCTGTAGAGTCCCAAACTTGGATCATCTAGGCCAGAATGGGCTCATTCGAGTGATGAATAATGTCTGTCCGTAAGCTCTGGAGGTTGTTATACGATAAGGACTCAGTGATGATTTCTGGTTCTGGAGCAGCCGCCTGTGAGGGTCCTGCCTCCCCATCATCGTCAACTGGGCTAAATGATTTGGTCTTATATTTCCTCTTCTGGATAGGGGCAACCTCTATTGGCTATGTCTGTCCCTTTGATTTGGCCCTATCCTGAGTCACCATGGTATCAGGCATTTTGTTTTCATCTTTTCCTTTTCCCTGGAAGTGCTGCACCATACCGAGCAACTTCTGGTAGGCAATGGCCAAAGCCCCACATGCAGCTGCCAGCTACCTCTCCATGGGTCTATCACGACCTCTCTCCCTCACGGCTTTCATTATTTTTGTAGGGTTTAGGAGTCTTTTGAGGGTGAGCTTCCATGTTGTAGGAGCTGAACAACTTTCTAGGAATTTACCCATATCCTCCCATAACCCATGCCACTCGAGGTTTTTTCACCCCTGGGGCAGGCTTCTGGACTCGTTCTCGATAATTCTTGGCCCTAGCTTCATATATTAGGTATACCATAATGGCACAAACTTGCATGAAAAGCCCAAAAAGTAAAATGTCTCTGACATCTAAGGAGAATTTAAACTTCCCAGAGGCAATTGCATTGGATCCTAAGGGAAAATGGATGAAGGGTTGGGCAAATATACCCCCCTATGTTTCTCCATAGGGATGGATGCCATTATCCTTAAACCCCCAGAGGAAACAGCTTAGGCTAGAGCAGTAATGCATCCTTGAGGACATATTCCAGATGAAAATCACAGGTGCTGAGATCTTCCTCCCCCACTGAGAAGGGGAAGGGGAAAAAGGGAAAAAAGGAGGCTCTTTCCCACTAAACTCACGCTGTCTGCAGCTGGCTGTGGCCGGGATTTCCCCCTTTCGTTGATGGACACACGACACTGCTAATACGGGAGCGGAGGAGAGAAAGGGCGGCGTCCTCCCAGAAAGGTTCCTCTGCAGGTGGGTCAAGCCTCTCCGATGAAGTCCAAGCAGATCCGGGCTGGGGGCGACCAGGGCACAGGAAAGCGGAGGCAAGTCAGGGCCGGAAAACAGCCAGATGACCAGGTTGAAAATAAAGTGAACCTCGGACCCCTCCAACACACACCTTTCCCAGAGTTAGGGCAAAAGTGAAGTGCCTCCCATTTCCGAGGAGAAGGAATAAAAAAAAAAACTCATCACCCCTCCCCGCAGTCTTAGGAGGGCCATCAGCTTGGAATGTGGATCTGCTGGTTAGTTCCTTTGTGTGAATCAATCACCCAAGGCAAACCACCCTATCCCATTCAACATCTTTCTTTTACAGCAATGCAGGGGAAAGAAAAAAAAGAACTCCCCAGAACTCCCCCTTGTTTTTTTTTAGAACAAGTAAACCTATGACAGCTGCCAGGGCACACTGCTGACTCTGATTGAGCCTGCTGTCAACCAGCATCCCCAGATCCCTTTCTGCAGGGCTGCTCTCCAGCCTCAGCCTCTCCTCTCCCAATCTATACTTGTGTCCAGTGTTACTGTCCCAGGTGCAGAATCTGGCATTTGTTCTTGTTAAATTTCATGCCACTGATGATTGCCCAATGCTCCAGTCTATCTAGATCCCTCTGCAAGGCTTCTTGTCCCTCATGAGAGTCACCAGCACCTCTAAGTGTAGTATCACCAGCAAACTTGTTAATGGGGCTTTAAACTCCTGCAACCAGATCAATACACTGATTTAGTTATTGAGATACACTAAATTAGGTTACACTTATTTAGACTAATTGTAGCAACATATTTTACAAGATAACGGGACTTTGGAATATGTTTTTACAAGGAATAGGTTAAAAGGCTCTCACCTGGTCACTGAAACAAATATCTCTTTTCCACCTCTCCAGAAGTATCAGATCCTATGCTATGCTATGCTACATAGAAGTGTTGAGCAGGCCACTGCCTCACAGTGCTTAGTAGAACTGTTAATAAAAATGAAAAAAACTGGCATATCAAAAATACCAAGTAAAAGCATATCGATCAGAGTTTATTTTCTTAGAAGTTGTATTATTGGAAATACTAAATGCAACATTTGCAGGCCACATAAATGTAGTGGACTAGTAATGGATTCTGAAGAAACTGCTGGACAATCAATATGCAAGGATTATGACTGCAGGTGGTAATGGCTGCATAATGATCTTTAGTCCTTCCTGTCCACTGTGTCCTGCCTATGCGTTGCCCTCATTTTGACCTAATGGTGATGCTCCCAGCCTTAGGATGAGATGTGTTTTAGCTAAAATCTGAGCAGGAGTTGAGTGAAAATTCACAGGATTTCCAAGGGCTGCAGTTGTGTTAAGAAAATATGTTCCAGAATAGGTAGGAGTGTTCCAGTGTGAATGCAGCTAACAAAGGCAGTCAGCAAGTCACAGCAGTTTGTGCAGAAAGATGCAAAGAAGGGGGCATCAAAGGTGGCCCTCAAATGAAATTGAGACACTAATAGTCTCAGACATGGTGGTAACACACCACAGGGCAGTTGCCCCAATAGATGTTGTTGCAACTGACCCTGAAAGGGTAGAGACTTAAACACAAAATGAGCTGCAATGAGTGCCTAGGCCCTCTCTGACACCAAGACAGTTGCATCTCTGTCCTGCAAGAACACTGTGGTTTAGAAATGGTATTCTCCAATTTAGTGCTCCTAATAAAACCATGCACTGCTTGGTCTCCCTCCCCGATGTGGTGGGTTGGAGAGGAGAATTGGAGGCACAAAAGGTAAAGATCATGGGTTGAGATAAGAACAGTTTACTGGTGTATTGGGTCTGGCTGAGCTGGAGTTCATTTCCCCATAGCAGCCCTCACAGTGCTGTGCTTTGCATTGATAGCTAGAAGGGTGTTGATAACACACCAGTGTTTTGGCTACTGCTGAGCACAGCAT